AAATCCTACACACAGAACCTTTAGTGGATGTATTTTAACTGAATACAAGACAAACCTGGTTCTGTCCAAAAGACACAACAAAAAAAAACTGCCTGCCAGCATTTCTAAAGCTGCTCCAGCTGATTAACTAGATGTACTTTATAGTTTCTGACAGAATCAGGCTGCAGTAGCATTTCCAGTCTGTGCTAAGTCAAGTCAAACGGCTGCTGTTTACAATGCACACATGAGAGTGGCTTCACCTTTTGCATTTCACTCTAAGCAAGAAGGTATATTTCCCAAAATACTGAATTTCCAGTGACAGAGGTCAGGTGTTGCTATAAAGTGCTACAGATAGTACATCACTTGGTCCACATCTGAAGTAGTTACAAGAGGTTAGTCGTGTTGCTGTGTGCATGTATACACATCATCATAAAGTCAATGGAATAGGGACGTGAGAATATGTGCTTTCACCTTCCTTTCTTCAATATTACTAAAAATGTATTTTATCTGCACAGTAACTAAATGCTTAACGAGGCACAAAGAGACAAGACACACAAATTAGATGTAATGCAGAAGATGCGGTGATGGTTCCTGCAAATACGTCAAAGATACAGTAAAGTTAACGTCACTGTCACCATCAACTGCAAACATTTAGGCTGAAGGGTTCTTAGCGCTGAACCAGGCCTCCAGGTCTGAGTAAACCTTGTGCTGAGGTAAACTGCTGAACTGTGAGCAGATCTTACACAGTCTTTCCCTCCAGTCGGTGTACACTTTCACTTTCCACTGTTGCTTCCACGTAAAATACTCGGCGTAGCGTTTCTTGTCCTCCGCGAGCTCTTGCAGATACTTTCCCATTTCTTTCACCGACGCAAACTCGTCCACGTGGATGAACGAATGAGGTGGAGCCACGGCTTTGTAATCGCTCGCCGACGCTCCCAGGACGACAGGCACGGCTCCGCCTTGGTAAGCGTTCCTCCACAGCTTCTCCGTGATGTAGTCTTTGGCGACTGAGTTCTCGAAAGCCAGATAAAAGTAGCAGCGAGAGATTGTGGGTAAGAGGGCCGCAGAGGTGAGGGGTGTCTTTGTCCAGCGCCCGTAAACCTTCACGGGAACCGTGGCGTTGAGTTCTTTGAACACTCGGCTTCTTTTGTGGTGGCTCCTGTAGTTGCTGACCACCCAGCAGACCAGAGAGGTCTTATTCTGGGGATCGTCTTCCACCAGACGTCCTTCAGCCTCCTTAGGTAGCAGACTGCCGTAGGGAACAGGGACATCAGCATCCCTCCTGTAGGTGATGGTCATGTTGAAGACGTCTGTAAACCGATGCAGGTTCCCGTTGTAAGCAGGGGCCTCCAGGGACATCCAAGCCCACCTCTGGCCCCGTGGACGCGGGCGATCGAGGGGCAGCTTCTGGCGCCGCTCTACCAGCTCCCTGTTGTGGAAGACCACCACATCAGCCGAGGGGAACAGGGAGCGCTGGTCCACCAGGTTACAGCGAGGGATGCGGTAGAGATCCCAGCACACGTCTCCCTTCAGGCTCATGGACCTGCTGAAGGGCCAGTACCACAGCAGGACCGTCACGTTTCTGCCGCTGTCACTGAAAGCCGAAGGATTCGCCGTCATCAGAGCCTGGAAGGCTGGCGACCATCCGCTGAAAAGGGACAGCGATAAAACGCAGAGAAAGGAGAGGAGGAGGCGCCGCTTCATTGAACCGAGCGCAGTCTTTTTAGTGTTGTCACACCCCTGTCATAAAAGAAAACAGGAGGGATGTGAGGTTTTTGCCTTTTGTTTTGGGCAAATACAGGAAGAAATATTCCCAGTCAGTGTAACATCTAATATCATATTGTAGAGACTTTAAACATAATGTAAGATCAACTTTATTCATCCCAAAGGAAATAGTTTGGCCAGAGTGCAATAAAGAAAGGTTAGAGAAATATACACAATTACAGAAAGGTTAGTAATGAAATAAAAATCAAATAAGAACACAAAATACAAAATGCAAAGTAATGCAAAGAAACAAACAAAGAGTTCATTTGCAAAAACAGAGAACTCCATCGTCACAAACCTTCAGAAAACCCACTTTTCCATCGTCTACCTGAGACAATATCAATCAGACTTATGTTATCTCTGTTTTTGTCATTTCTACTGAGTGAAATTTTGGTCTCAAGCAAACAACAACAAAAAAAGTTTTCTGAGAATCAAAAAAAATGGAGTAATCTGTTGTTGCAAATGAACTAGAGTGAATTGACAGTAAACGACGATGATGATCATGATGATGACACTGATAATAAAACTGTTGCACCTGATAAGAATTGCACAGAATGTGAAAAGAGTAATTTTACCACATTTATCACTGGCCCGCCTACATAATGACAGATAATATTAGACAGAGAAAACCTGTTTTGTAATAGAACTAAGACCTCTGGTCGTTTTAAATGACACCATTGTCTAATTAAAATCATTTACTATTTTCCTTTGTTTGGGATGACAACACTGCAGCATTAGTTAGAATTAAAGCCACCCCGGACAATCGAATATATTTAATAAAAACACAGAAAGTAGACTAAAATATTCAAGCACAACTCTCCATCGTTTTTAGGGCTACTTCATTTAAAAATCTGCTCCAGGTTGCTGCTTGAGGCTCAAAGCAGCACAGCTGCTGAGTGCGACTGTGTGACTGATACATCTCAAACTGAGACTCGCAGGGTGTGACAGTTATGATTGTTGTGCTTTGAGGTGTGAAGTAAAGACATTAAAACTAAATTAGCTTTCCCGGTGTCAATGACAATAGCACCATGTGCAAGAAGTGCAGGTCTGTGTCGCCTTTCTATAACCGACCAACAGTTCCAACTCAACTCAGAAAGAAGCCTTCAGAAAAAAAGAGCAGAAAGCAGAGATAGTGGATTTTTTAGATACAATTCCTCGACATGAGGTAATCGAAACTTAAATATGAGAGTAAGCGGCATTTAGTCATCATTCAGAGTTTCTGGAACAGTAACGTTTGTATTCAGGGCTCACCATCAGGTCAGATTCAGTTCAGCTCGAGGCTCCCAGCGTTCAGGGGATTCACCTCCTCAGATCAGAGGCCATGTTGTCGCTCTGCTCAGCGTGTCCCAAGAGATACTTGTGCAAAAGCTTCCTTTTTTTTTCTTCTGTATGAACAAAACAAAGAGAGCATTAAGTGAAAGGCACAACAGCAGAAAACATTAACATTACATCACCATCAGCGCAGAAATGTCTGTCAGGTACCAGTTATACACAAACGATTTATGACATTGGTCACAGGTGGGTGGAGGACACTGAATGACTTTGGTGTGCCTTAACTTCTGTCTGTGTGAATGTTCTCTTCAGAATGTACATTGGGAAATGTGAAAAGTGAAATGACAAAGATGAGCGGAAAACAAGATTGTGCAACAAGATTTGAAACCCTAGAAGTTTCCAGTTTGTGTAAGATGAGAAAAAAGACATTTAACTTATCCAAGAATAGATAAGGAGGGACTCACAAAAAAGATAATCTATATATGCATAAACATATTTAGTCTATTTGCTTGAAAGGAAAAACGGAATTAAACACTGAAAATAACTAATAAATAAAGCAGCTTTTATGTAAATGCTTCACATATTGCAATTTTTTATAATTTTAAATTCAATGCCAATCTGTAGAAACTTGTGCAGTAAATAACAATAGAGGTGTCATGGATTCAGAGAAAAGAAACACTCGCTTTTTTAAGGGACCTTTCAGTGCCTTATGGGACTTTTATTCTCATACTAGTCATCAGCATCATTACATTTGGATGGTCTTGGAGAAAACAGTGTGTTTTATTTGTGTTATAATATCACATGCAGTTGATAAGATGCTATAATATACCAATTGTTAGGTTGCAAATTCTGCTTCAGTTCATTTTTTCCTTCAAATCCAGTCTTCTAAACGATGTAGCTCCTCTTTTTTTTTTTTTTTTTTTTAAATTTTTACAGCAGGATTCTTTGCTAGAGCTGCTTCAGCCCATTCACTCAGGTTCTCTCTGCACTGCTCATTATAATACTGCAGCGAGCAACTTCATGCTACTACTACCAACTAACATCCTTTGCAAGTGCTTTGCATGGCTCAGGCAGGTAATACGACCTGCTGCTATCACGCTTAACACTATCTGAACACAAGTTAAACATAACTGTTGTCTTGCAGATGACAAGAATCAGGCTGGCAGCAACTGAAGCGCCGCAGTTCAAACAGCATCAACAACTACAAGTGTAAAAATGTGGAAATAGACTTTTCTAGCTGCACTGTTTATCTTACAACTAAAAACGTCCATATTGTTTTAGCAGAACAGCATCATATGTGAAATTAAAACATAAAGGTGCCCATACTGTACCAAGGAACTGAAGGTTTGCTGCAGGATGCATCCAAGAAACAGGCAGCAAACTCCAGGACTCTTTCCGGCAGCTGTGCATGTAGAAGGAGACAATTTGAGACTGAAACCAACAGAGACTTTGATCAATAGGATCATTCCTCGCATCAGGCGACAAACTGGTCGGATGTTTACACCCAGAGGACAACTTAATGTTCGATTGGAGACGCTTCTAAACAGCTGGGAAGGTCTCATCCCTCTCTGACCCTTTGACCTGCTCCTCCTACAACTCTCTGCTCAATAATCCAAGACTCAGTCGTCCTACAGCACCGGTGCTGCAGAAAACATCTTGGAATCAGAGTGTGGATGGATGATGCGTGCACAAACTCTCTCTGCCACCTTCACAAAACCCACAGGGAGACTTTCTTCTTCAACATACATGTGTCAAATGTCTTATTTCCTTAATTGCTTGAAAGAAAATCAGGATTTCTGATTTGTAATCATAACAGCTGTTTAACAAGAAATGAGTCCGTTCTGAGGGTATTTGACCTCTGACCTCACTGCATAGAGAGTTGAAGCCAACAGCATCGATGTGGATGAACATATCCATGATTGGTTAGATGTCAGCCTGAACTTCTCTCCAAAACTTTTTGTATGAAACACTGTCACTGGAATGAACATGGGTTTTTCGTTATTAGTGCCTACTATTAGCGACTATGGTTGTTTTCAATGTAACTTCACTTTGCATGATTTCACACACCCCGTTACTGGCAAAAAACAAACCAATCTTCAACCAACTTTTCCAGGAACTCTTCACCACAACATCTCAAAAGCAACACAAATTTCACTGTCATTCTGCTAAAGTGGTGAATTTAAAAATGATAATCCTCATTTCTAAAATTTCTCTAAATTTGTCACCACTCTTGCTGATTTTTATCCAGCGCTCACCTGCTGCATACTTTCATCGCCAACACTCTAATTTCTGTTTCGTCTTTGTATGTGCGCATATCGTTGTGTCACTGTTTGTTGGTAGCACTGCATTCTAAAATTAGACCTGATGCAGCCATGTATTTCCTGGTTCTTTTGAGAACTGGACGTCACTATATGAGTTCTGAAATTTGAGAAATCTTACTAATAATTCAATGTGATTAATAAAGGTTTTTTTTTCCAGATTAAAGATCTGGTGGTGGAGAGCAAATTTCAACCTGAAAGTGTGGTTACGGGCTGCAGGTGGCTCGGTGGTTAGCACCGTCGCCTGATCCTGGTGAGGACACCCAGGATCTTTCTGTGTGGAGTTTGCATGTTCTCCCCGTGCAGCGTGGGTTCTCTCCGGGTTCTTCAGCTTCCTCCCACACAGTCCAGAAACATGTCAAGGTTAATTGGTGATTCTAAATGTGAGTGTGCTTGGTTGTCTGTCTCTAAGTGTAGCCCTGTGATAGACTGGTTACCTGTCCAGGTGTCTCCTGCCTTCACCTTGAGTCATCTGGGATAGACTCCAGCCTCCCTGCAACCCCCCAGTGAGGATTAAGGTGTGTAGATAATGGAGTGTAGTTACTGCTACATACTGTGGATTTTTTTTTTCTTTTTCAAATGAGCTTCTACGGTGAGACACAAACAAGAACTCTGTACAGGATGTGGTGAAAGATTTATGTTGGCAGTGCTGCTGTTCTGCTTACTGACTGGCACAAAGCTCCGACTGATTCGCTTTCAAAATGAACACGTTTACAAAACTGCAAATTCTACATTTTCTGTGCATTTTATCGTAGAGAAAAAGACGGGGAAAAAAAAAGATGTGAAAACGAACCATCTCAGAAGTCAGACCACACTGACCAGAAAGACGCATTAAGACAAAACCCCAAAGCTTCCTCCACTAACCTGCTCTTGAGATGAGTTGTCGGTGCTGTCCTCAGTCACCTCTAGCACCACGTACGGCTGCTGCCAAGAAGATCACGATACCGTATGAAAAAAAACATATATGCAAACCCTTTTAAGGAAGCCGAGGTGTGGCTCTCAGAAAGATAGTTGAGTCTGTTCAAGTCCATCTTCGTGCAACAAGTCCCCCCCCTTTTCTGCCTGATATTCCACTTCTACTATTCTGTCCTTTCACATCTTTGGCAGCCGAGGACAATCAGCCTATTCAGAATGTGTTTGCTGCATGTGTGCACTGATGGGGAAAGAGGAAATGCCGAACATGACCTAAAATGAAGATGTGGGGAGGGTGGGTTACAAAAGGGGAGACCACACAAATGTGACTCATGATGAGGGAAGCTGCAGAACACTGAAGTTAAAAAAAAAAAGAAGAAAAAGATGTTGTAATATTGAAATGCAGTAATGTGGTATTTCATGACCACAAGAATCTAGTCAAGGTTTCTGCAACTAAATGGTCGTATTAAAAATCTTGAAAGGAGGAAATGGGCGGATGCATAAATCTTTGCCAGACAAAAGCAGGCTGCTGTGGTGGTTTGGATATTTTATTGATAGTGGAACAATGGGTTCATTGTGTGCATCATTTTGGTTGTTTGCTGTTATGCCCACTAATTATGGTTTACATATCATCCATTAAAAGCCCTGCAATACATCATACTTGTAAATATTGAGCAGCTTCGACACTAACTTCCTTTGGGATGAATGGCGTTATGTGTTATGTTATTGTCTGTCTAACTCTGAAGAACACGATGGAAGCCCTCTCCACTAAGTGCACGTATCCCTTTGAAGGTTTATTTTAAGTCCCCCTGCTTGACTTTACAGTAGACGTATGTTGGTTAACAATAAGTTGAAGTTAACACTGTCACACAGTGTAAATCACATCAAGTTATGGGTTACTTTCATTCATATGTAAAGAAACAATCAAGTTTAGCACATCTGAAATGACAAACGCCACATTTTAACTGTCAATGTGTTTTTCAATGTGTTCTTAAGCAATGCATGGTGGGAAATCTGCCAGCATTCTGTCTTTGTTTCCTCAGAAACTCAATCAAATGAGTTGAATAAACTCTCAGCTCTAAATTCCATCCATCCGTCATCTATATACCTTAATCCTCATTAGGGTCATGGGGGTCTGGAGTCTATCCCAGCTGACTCAGGGTGAAGGCAGGTTCACCTGGACAGGTAACCAGTCTGTCACAGGGCTACACTTAGAGACAAGCACACTCACATTCACACCTGCAGACAATTTAGAATCACCAATTAACCTTGACATGTTTTGGACTGTGGGAGGAAGCTGGAGAACCCGGAGAGAACCCACACTGCACGGGGAGAACATGCAAACTCCACACAGAAAGATCCCAGGTGTCCTCACTGAACTGGCGACCTTCTTGCTGCGAGGTAACGGTGCGAACCACAGAGCCACCTTGCAGCTTTAGTCAGTTACACTAAATACTTCATGCTCTACAGTGCAGCGACCGCCTTGGTCCTGGTTATTTTACCCTTTTAGCACATTAGCATGTGTTTGCAGCACTACAGGCTGCAATCTCAGGACCGCAGTTGTAGAACCACATTTCTAAGATGGATGGTATTCATGACAGCGCCACCTACTGAATTGGATAACTAACAGAGTTACAGGTAGCCTTGCAGACAGGACTGCATTTCTGGCCACGTTGGACAACAATTATAGCAGATTGTAGCAGGAATACTAAATGCTCAACATTAACAACAGTGGCTCCTAGAAGTGTGGTCCTCAAACTGCAGCCTCCTGCAGATAATACTGATTCTGCTACCAGCCACCTTCCTGTCATTAACCATCTGACCACCAGGTGTCCTCAGACTTTCACCACCTGACTCCCATACAGCCCGCTCAGCTGTTTTCTCCCCTCAGTACTAACACCAGACATCTCCACGTGCTTCAGGACAGGTTTCTGTGTTGCTTAACTCCCACCAGCCTGTCTGTAATCTGTTCCTGTTATTGTACTTGTGGCTCTGTCCCACTGCCTGTTTTTGAGCATTCTGGACTTGTTTGCACAATAATGCATGCAATTCTTAGCCTCACTTCCTACTGAAGCTCAGCTGTTTGAGTCTGCATTTGGGTCCCGTGTCTTATACCCTTTGTAAATAGTGACTTTTTTTTTAGTTGGGCTGCAGTTCAGTCCTGTGGTTGTGAAATGAGGTGATTAATATGACTGGAAATGGAGCTTATGTATTGTTTTTTAATTATCAAATACTGAAAAACCTTTTTTAAGGCTTTAAAAACTAATTTAAATGAAGTAATTTGAGAAGGGAGCATCCCTCTTTAGCTGATCTGTCACTAAAACATGCTGTGTGTACTTTACTGGGTAATACGCCATAAAAACTACTTTAACTAATGACTAAATCTTGAGGTCAAATTGCAAAAGTATGCACACTATTTTATCCAAAACACAGTTTAACACTATAAAGTCTGATGTATTTTTTTTAGAGCCAATAAGAAGACTGAATATTAAACCTGAAGGTGTGAACTGATCAAAGATTTGATCCAAAACAACTCAAACAAGAAATTAAAAGGCTAAAATGAGACACAAAGCAACAGAAATGAGATGCAACATGACAAAAA